GCTGGTAGCTTAACGGAACGATGCTCATCCGTTACCGGTAGCTCAGCTGGCATGCAACTGTTGTATTTTTTCCTCTTTTTTCTTTTATGTATTGCGGCACAGTAGCTGAAGTGTTTCCAATCTCCAGCTAACATGGATAATACATTGTACCTGTGAAATATTAGATGCCTCTACACAGAGACATCTCTTCTTGCCAATTCCAGCATTCCAGATTTAGACTGCGCATCGCAACCCAATCACACAACGAGCCCTTCAACATGAGCTTCAAAAAGAAATAGTTCCTGTTGTGTTTCAACATAAGCCGTTTTGAAGTACTTAGACTGAAGTATTAAGATTGAAAATTAGGCGGTGAATGAGACGCAGTACAACGTTGGCACCACTGGTCTGTTGGAGGTACATGTTACCGCGTTAACCATAGCTGGTGTCATTCTGTAGCAAGTCGCTTGCTTCACTTAGCTAGGGAGTTACATCGCGGCTGGTGACGGTTCCGGAGAGGATATTTCACAACAGATCGCTAGGGCTGGCCTTGTATTCGTCAAACTGAGACACCTATTTTCGTGTAAGCCTTTCCAAGAATCAGAAACTGAGTATTGACCGCGAGTAAAAGCCCTTCACTGTTAAAATAACATTCCTTTTATACGGCACACTTTGTTCTGTTGAGCGATTTAGAATTGGTATCAGTTGATGGGGTTACTTCTGGTGGAAAGCATAACATACGCATCGACCGAGCTGATTTATCATAGACCTTGGAACAAGCTAATGACTTACGCGTGCAAGAGTTGCTTCTCAGTTAGCGGTAAGCAATCGATCAGGAATGGCTCCTTACTGATTGTTTTGATGACATTAGCCAACACTAACAGCTACCAAGTTACCTGTGACGTCGCCGCGACGTCAACCTGAAGGTTGGCTGAGGTACTTACAACCGCATGTGATGCAGCACAATGTCATCGATTTTGATATGAAATCCACCAACCGACGTTTCTTTTCAGCATGCAGCAGTGATTTTGTTTACTTTTGGGCAACCGCCCTCTCTATAAGCTCTTGCCATCGGCGCTGATCCACTGCCATCGGCTCTTAACACCTGAAATCATCAGTAGTTCCTGATAAACTCATCGTGATCATGTCCTGGTAACGTAACTTCGGTTTTCCCACGTGCTGCTTCCCTGCACACAGTTGGCCATAAAGCAGCTGCTTCGGCATCCGGGTCAAATCTATGCGGCGAATATGACCGAGCCACCTCAGCTGCCTTAGCAGAAGCATGCAGTCCACTGCATTCATGCCACTGCATCGGAGCACCTCCGTGTCTGCAACTCGGTCACGCCAACCGATACGTATAATACGGCGCAGACACTGCTGATGGAAGCGCTCTAAATAATTGACATCCTTCCGATAAAGCGTCATTTCGCTGCCGTATAAAAGAACGGACAGCACCATAGACTTATATACCAGCGGCTTCGTCCCGACAATGAGCTGGTGATTGTTACACACATGACATTCCAGCTTCCCAAATGCAGCAGCGACCTTCGATACACGGCTGTGCAGCTCGCTCGTCACTTGCAGGTCGGTTTTTATTACGTTTCAAGGTAGCGAAATCTCGGAGTGGTTTCCAACACTTCGTTCGTAACCTGGACTTGGAGCAGGCCCACAGATTCCATTCCGGGTGGAGGCTGGATAGGACAGTTTTGCTTGTGTTGATGTTGAGCCCGAATTTGGCCGATGTCAGAGCGAGAGCAATAGCCATGTGCTGCAACTCATCCGCACTGTGTGCAAACAAAGCACAGTCGTCAGCAAACACTAAAATACGGATAGTTGTCTCACACACTCGGGTTCTCGCCCCGAAACGACGGATGATCAACACCCCACCATCAATGTGGTCTTCCATACGGACACCGTAATCACAAGCAGTATCAAAAGTACAAGACATCATTGCATGAAGTTAAATATTAAATAGACAAAGAGCCAAGCCACAGCCTTGCTTCACACCAGAGACAACTGCAACATCATCCAAGGTTTGTCTACTCAGCTGCGCTGTCGCCCACATACCACCATGCAGACATATAATTAAAGGTACAAACTTAGTCGGACCACCAAACTTATTCAACACTAGCCACAGTGTCTCTCGGTTCACCGTATCAAATGCCTTGGTAAAGTCAAAAATAGCGAGTACAATGGATGGTGTCGCTCCCTACATTTCTCCTGTAGCTGACCGAGCCACGAACATCATATATATAGTGCTGCGGCCCGAGCAGAATTCGCACTGCTCTTCCGCCACGTCCGGTTCAACGAATGGGCTTGAGTGGCGTTCCGCCAGGGAATTAGGATTGGAGTTTCATTCATTTATTTGGCACCCCAAGATTGTTTGATCACACACACACAGTTAGGTACATGCATATTCATATTGATTGCTGGTAATGGTGTTGTGATAACGATGCCAAATGCCTGAAGGTTGCTGCTGTGAATAGCTCATGTTCAGGCACCCCGGCGCCCCACCAAATGTATTCCTTCCGATCTTCTCCTCCTACACATCAGTCACCCCTGTTGTATCGGTACACTATACTCACACAAACTGCGCCAGCAGTTACAACGTGCTTCCCAAGAAAAGGACCTTGGGGTGATCCTACAGGACGAACTTGGTTGCTCGAGACAGGCTGAAAAGACATCAAAAAGAACCGGTCAGCAACTTGAACTCTTACGGAGGGCTATCGGGAATTGTGAGCGATCAATCTTCCCGCAAATGCTGAATACCTACGTGAGGCCTCACGTGGAATATGCGATCCAGGCCTGGCGTCCCTGGCGCAAGCGCGACGTTGATGCACTTGAAGCTCCACAACGTAGAGCGAACGAACTCATTAGAGGATTGTTTCATCTCTCCTACCAGCGCAGACTGCAGTACCTGAGATTGTACAGTGGTGAATATCGAAGTCCGGGAGGAGACCTCACCATGGTTTACTTAATACTGACGAACTCAACTCACCCGTGTCGCAATCTGTTGAAGCTGAGCCAAAATACCAACCTAAGAGACCATCAGCTCAAACTGGCTACGCACTAAAGTCGGCTGGATCGTCGACGAAACATTTTCTCCCTCCTTGTGTCCCATGCCTGGAACGCCCTTCCGACTCACATTATCCTCGCCCCTACATTAACGCTATTCCAAAACCCCTTGATGAAACGCTTTTCAACTTGCATTACTTGATATAGTCCGTTCCACGTGGAGGACAAAATAACGCAAATCTAACCATGCGCTTAGCTGCCCTCTCCGCAACTTGGCCGTGAGGATAAGTGCAGAAGTGCCCATGTCAGTAGCCTGGATGGATGTAAACTGGATTAACAAACCACATCTGTCAAATGAAGCAACACAAGAGGCAGCTTTGTGGTTGCCTTTTTTCTTTCTCATGCATTTACTGAACTATAATAGCTCTTTATACTATTTTGCGTGTGCACATCCCATTCCCACTTCAAACTATCGTTATGCGGTAGTGCATTTAAATCGGTGAACGCTTGAAATAACGATTTACCTATTCGAGGATCCATCAAATTTTAATTTTTACTCCAACCATTCTACGGGACTTGTCAAGCACATGCTTTTTTACCCGTCATAAATCATTCTTCATTTTTCAACACTCAGCACGACAGATGACCCAACCTCCCAACAGGTGGCTGAGCAGTTCATGCGTTTGGCTCGCATTCTACAATCCAGCGATCCAAATGCACGCAGGGGCGGACAACCTCACAGTCTCAACAAGCACGGATCCTTTGGTGGTTGGGTGACAGAGACGCGTCTGCGCGAAATTTCAACGATCAATCGATGCTAAACAAGTGACCATATGCGGTAATTTACCATATTCAATAAAATAATTTTGTCTTCCGCTACTTACGAGTTTCGCAAACCTTTGGCCATTGGCGTCTGAGACTCCGGTGCTCGGAAGCGTAGTGCACAGAGAATAGATTGATCAATCTGTGATGCAGGATTGCTTTGGTCGTAGCTTGCGGTAAGGTGGTGAAGTCATATATCTCAATTACACGTACTTCTGCTGCCATGAGCGCGCTCGTCTCTTTCAACATAGAGTTAGTGGTTTCATTAAATGTCATATGAGTAGGCCCGCAGACTTTCAATAGGTGTAAGCAACCTTAGATACTCTGTTGCTCGAGTGAAAGGGTACAAAAACCAGTACCAGTGTTCAAACAAGAGATACGGGACTGACCAAAATGAATTTAAGCTAACGGCAGTTCGTTTTTGGTCCACTGTTTTATCGAAAGCTGCGCTCTAAACGAAAGCCGATGTGGATAACTTCATCAGTTTATTCACAGGCTCTCGCTTCATTTAAACAAGTTGATTGAGATATAGTAAACAGCAAGAGTACCCCACAACTTTTCACGTAGATCAAAAGGAAAGTTGCGAACAGGCCGGCTTCCAGGATTTAACGGGTTGTCTTTGTGATGAAGCAGTAAACCGACGGGTTTTAGGACCAACTCAGCACGAAATCTAGTCAACAATGATATCGGTGTAGATAATGTTTGTCACAACGAAGTGTATTAGCTGGAAGTGGGTATGTATCGTCAGCGAGATTGACGTGCTGCAGCGTCATCTGGCGCAAACGTACATATATTCACTGGGATGCGTCCGAAGACAGAATTGCTCAGACACAGTATCGGTCAGCCCACGGGGTACAACGGCGTATGTAATTTGTTTCATTCGAACACATTATCACAAACAACAGTAGCCCCTCAAGGAGGGTCACCAGTTTAATTACTAAGCGGATTCACAGGTGTAGTCAGTTTGTGGTATATTTTTTATTCTTCTCGTCGCCCGGAACCCAACAGAATTTACAGTGTACGAGCAAGATGCACACTACTGTCAAACATCCAAGTACTCTTTGAATTCTTGAGAAAAGTGGCCAGCATTTTGCACTCATGAATTGATTCAATCTTGGATATGGACAATGTTGGTGCCTATCAAAAAACCGAAACGAACAAAGTGAACAGCGCATTGAAAAACCCACCTGTACCATGGGTTGCATGGACTGCCGTAAGCATCTTTGCAGGTGAAAATGGCCCCACGGACACCGTTCATCGCGATCGCAAACAACAGTCCATTGTTGCCAGCCGCAGCGCGAATAGGCCAGCATTCCAAGCTGCAAGCACACACCTCCATTGCTGCCACTGAATCAAGCAGTGCGAGAAGAAAGACTTCGTTGATATGCAGCCAACGGAAAACACGCCAAGAATGACGAGGAAGACTCCATGATCGAACGGTTGAGGTCTCGTCTGACACTAAATCAACAGATTCACCAACGCGGACCCCTGCATTGGAGGGTACTTCAGGTTGATGTAACTGAAATTCATGAGAAGGAATCGCGAAAATCTTGCAGAAAAGTACACATGTTAAGCCTTGGTTAGATGGGGGTACTATCCAAGATGTTAAAACAAGAAGCATCAACTAGATGTGCCGAGTACGACCTCGAAAACATGAAAAGTATTGTCACGGACAGCATTTTTCTGCGTCGACTGGAAGGCCAAAAGACTATACCTTAGCAGGACACATTGACGGTCACACATGGCCACCACTTTGGAACACAAGCTCCACATTAGCTCATTTGTCTAATACCAAGAAGTGAGCGTAAAAATGAATGGTCTTGGTTTGCTTGATAAACATTGTACCAACTGACTGTCATCCGGAAAACGGTAGTAGGGAGGAAGCTTTAGCCAACCATTCGGATCTTGCACTGATGGCCAGTCGTGTTATAACCTTGCGAACAGAATGTTAACCAAGGATAAAAGGACAGAAATAATGACCGACCGGAAGTACCAAAGGCACTGTCCTAAATGAAACAATGAGAGGGTGAGGGAGAGAAAAATGGTTATCCTATAGAAACAGTTAAGTCATCTAAAAGGCTCTCGTTCTACTCCTAGAGCAATTTTGGAGGCATCCTCCATAACGGCAAGCAACCACGATGGCCTTCCATAACCCGATAGTCATGTTCGATTCAACCTACCCGACCTGCATATGGGACCGCTTATAATTAACAGGATGCCAGCAAAATTCGTTTCCAAACGGAATGCTCTATTACCCCTTTCCTGAAGCGGTGAAAAGACTCGCCGGGAGATCTGGCCTGAATTCATCATGTCAAATAAAATCCAACATCAACGTTGCCAAGTATATTCTCTTCAGCGTTTTGACCGAAGCGACTATAAGTGCATTATTAAGACCACTGTAGCTGAGGCATATGTGTTAGTGAGCAAGCAGTTGAAAAGCGCGTGGTACTTTCTCCCTAAGCATGAGTGACCGATAGGTGTACGCAGAAGTGAACAATGGACTACCACTGAGTGACCGATTTGTGCGACAGTGATCGTCGAGGTGAAACATGTTTCAGACGAATTTTGGTCACTCAAAAATATTTCCGTGTGGCCTTAATTTGTGTAGTGAAGGTATTTTCCTCATCAAAAATACTGTCCGTACTCAGCACAAATCGATTCCAAATGCGTCCTAAGGCAACACTGCATATGTAAGGCTACAACTCTAATGTTTGGATTGACTAATCTGTGTCCGACAGGAAAAATTGTAAACGGGTGTGGAGTCTCACAATATCTCCGCCATTGTGCACAGTTTCTTGTGATGTCCAAGAGAATTTCCAGTCATGTGTGCTCGTGACTCTTGCAACCCCAGCCAGGGAGCCGAGAGGGTCAGACCGCGGCCAAATTTGTGGTCAGCGGCTTCACACCTTTGACTCAAGTCATTTGTTGGTTGCCTTATCTTCGTTCCAAACCAACTTCTGCGTACATGAACGGCGCACGGTAAGATAAACGTTCAATGGGCATGCGGAACACCTGACCAAGCCACCAAAGCCTTTGCAAAGCAATTATGCAGTGCAACGTCCGACGGAGCCTGTCTGATCTGAAAATCCTCCGACGAACGTAAGCAATACAAGTGTAATGTTGCAATCGTACACCAACAATGCGCAGAAGACTGCGGTGATAAAAAACAGATAGCCCTTTGAGACCTTTGTCACGAATAAGCAAATTCTCGCAACCTTAGAGCATGACAGACGGTACGGCAGCATTGGAGCTTCGGCCCTTCAAAAGCAGACAGATTGTACCGACACCAGAGATGGCAGAGATTAGCAAAAGCAACTCGGGCCTTAGAGACACGCAGAGAGACCTCATCCGTTAAACCTGTAACGTTAATGCAGCTTCCGAGGTAAACAAAATTGTCTGCCACTTCCAGAGAATGTCCCGAAAGGATAACGGTAGGAGCAGCTCACAGCCATTCCCATATAATAGGGATGTCCAAAGTCCCGCCAGAGGGCCGTACCATACATATGACTATCTAAAACTAGCCCGTTCTGAGAACGGATTTTCGTTTTATAACTTATCTCAGTCTCTGCATTTTTATTGTACTGTAATTTACTTTAAGGTACATCCTTAGACACAACAGTTTCACCCTACTGATTATTTAATTCCACAAAAAGTAACATTTTTCTACTCCACTTTCACAACTTTATGATAAAGGGGTTTTAACTAAACTAAAAATAAAAGTGTGATTCGGTAACTTTTTATTTCTGTGACTGTCATTCCAGTTCTAGGGAGAAGAATGAGAGTAAAAAAGGAAAGTTAATGACGAAGAGCGAGGCTTCCAATAAAAGTGGAAACCAGTATTGTTTCGCTGAACGGCTGAACAAGTGTGTGTGTGCTTGATTTGTTTGGAAAGTATGGGGCTGTTTTCAAGGAATTCACTGCCAAGAGGTACTACCAAACGAAGCATGCTAACTATGGTGAGTTGACTAAAAATGAACGAGTTCTGCGACTGAAGCAACTAGAAGCTGCAATAACATCACAGCAAAGCTCGATTGCAAAAATCGGTCGGTCGAATGAAAATACGACAAAGGCAAGTTATGAGGTGGCAAAACTAATATCGAAACACCGCAAATCATTTACTGAAAACGAATTTATCAAAGAAGGTTTGATAAAACTTGTGGAAAAGATCTGTCATGAGAAAATGCAAGTTTGTCAATGTTTGCCTGGCACGCAACACTGTGGTTCGCAGAAGTGAAGACATCTCCTCTGATATTAAAGAACAATTAGAAATAAAATGAACAAACGTTGAGTTGTATGATAGTCTGTGATAAATGCACTGATGCCGCTGACACTGCCCAGCTTCTTATATTTTCGAACGGAGTTAACGCTGACATGTGTGTGAGTTAGGAAGTACTTGACCACCAGGAATAGAGGAATAGATTCAGTTGTTTCTGTTTCTTCTGTAAGCAATGATGTTAAACTATCATGGAAATAAGCTCTGGAATTATTACTGACGGTGCCCAATGACTGGCGAACACAGTGGATTAGCGAAACTTGTCTGTAATAAAATCAGCGAAAAGGGGAGCAAAAACCATTAAACTCCACTATATCATTCACCGACAAGTCGGTTGTGCCAGACATCTTCGGTGTGATCATGTCGTGAAGCCAGTGATAAAAGCCATCAACTAACTTCGCTCTAAAGCTCTGTTTCATCATCAGTTTCAGCAGTTTCTACTCGACATCCAGGGTGAATAAGGAGATGTTGTGTGGTAGAATGATGTAAGATGGCTCAGACGAGGGACTGCACTTCATAGCTTCTACTATTAGAAAAGAATTTGTACAATTCATAGGAAGTATCAGATAATCGATGTGAGAACTATCAGATCCTTCTTGGATGGTTGATTTTGAATTTTAATTGTTATTATACCGCACCTGCACATGTTGAACACGAGTCTTCAGGTTCAAAATGCAGTGGTAAGCCGATTGTATTCGTACATCAAAGTCTTTAGGAATAATCTGCAACTTTTGGAAGGACAACTGTCTTAAACGCAGCCAAATATCACACACTTTCCACAAGAAATCATGATAGGTCTTCCAGAAAGTAACATCAATGTACAAATGCAGAAGTGCGTCGCAGATATTGTATCCCTGGGTGGTGAGTTTCAAAGGCGCTTTCAGGACTTTGCATTCATTGTAAAGGAGATCAGGCTTTTTCTTTTGCCTTTCTCTGTGGACCCTCACAATGCTCCAGGCTACCTGTAACCGGAACTCATTGAGTTGCAAAAGGATGTAGTCGGCACCAACAGCTCTCTCTCATGAATTTTTACCGTCCAATGAATGAAGACGGATTTCAAGAGATTCAAACATTAGTTAAGCAAAGGCTGAGCTTGCTTGGCTCGACATACTTGTGCGAACAGACGTTTTCAGTTTTGAATTGTAACAAGATCTGTGTGAAGATGAGACTAAGTGTTTCTCACCTACGTAATAGTTTGCGTACCAAAACCAGTGTCCTTGAGTCTGACCTTACCAGTTTGCTGCAGCCAAGATCTCAGTTGCACCCTTCACATTAAAAGTGATAGTAAAAATTTATAACGCACATCATTTTTGTTATTATCTAAATGTCAGACCGAATGCGACCAGACATATTTTCACCATACAAAATGTGGCCCTCGTTGCAAAATGTTTGGACACCTCTAATATAGAAAAACTTTACATCTCGATGAAGCGCAGGTCATTTCAAACTAGGAGGTATACACCTCCGACCTACACAGCACATTTTGGGGCGGTCTGTGAGGAACTGTAAATTACAGCGATGTCGTCTGCACACATCTCATCACGAATTCGATCCCCCGGAAGTGGATCAACGCCACGGGCTTCGAAATCCTCCAAAGCGTTCTCCAGGACATCTTCTATAGCGAAATTGAGCGGGAAGAGTGACGCTGCGTAGTCTTGTCGCACACCACTGGGGAGTGAAAGTCCGCTGTACACCTGCACTCTACCAGATGTTCAAGAACATATGGCTCGGGCACTCCCCTTTCCAACAGACAAGTCAAGAGGGTAACTGTGGTAACTGAGTCTAACGTAGCTCGTATGCCTAAGAAGACAAAGACCATTGGCCGGCCGAACATTTGACGACGCTCGAGTATTTGGCGGAGGGTAAGTATGATGTCGATGCGACGCCGGTCAGAGAGAAAGCTGTTCGCGTATGTTTTGTTTACATACTAAGTTGAACCTTCATAACAACAGAGCGGAAAGCACTTTACATACAAAGCACAGACTAATTTTTCTGTGTTTAGCGCAGTCCGTTCTGGCACCTTTTGAAGACGATCACGGTATCCTCTAGGCTCTAGTCAAAAGGGACCGTTTCAGTGAGCCGAACTTCTTGAAGGAGGCAAGTTAACTTTCGAACAAGCGACGGACCTCCATAGTTAAAAATACTTGGGGAGTTCGTCTGGGACAGTGGCTTTGTTACGCTTTTGTAGGCGGAACTCATGATTAACCTGAACCTCAGAAGGTGGTGAAGCATCGACACACATCAGGTTTTAATCGTTCGTAACATTTCAAATCATGACTTGTTTCTAACTCAGATGTACTGGGCAAACACAGATAGCAAGTTTTCGAATCGAACTCGGGAACTTTGGTAAGAGCAGTAGGCAACTATCGTAAGCTCCTCCAACTGATCCGCGTCATGTTCACAGCAGGATGACAATAGCTGTGTTCAAGGACTTCAGGAGTGCGTTCTACTCGGTCAATCTGTTCGAGATAGTTGCGCGTAAAGCAGTTCCCATAAAATATATGGAGATTTTACATGCCCTATGCTTGAACAATACAGCCCGCGTCAGGGCCTACGGTGATCTGTCGGATGGCTTGCCGACAACAAGTGGCGTTCTTCAATTTGATGGTGGACTCTATCATGGAGTGTTCCCTTGTGGAATCTCACGGTGAAGACGTTGAGGTACTGCCTGGTAAAAGGTTCAGTGATCTTGGTTACCCGAAGGATATCGTCCTGCTTTTCAACGATGTCAGGGCTGCTCGCTCTACTCTACATAACATCTATAAAGTGGTCCCATCATTCGGCATGCTGTCCGCACCATTAAAATGAAAAGTGTTGTTACAGGACCACCAGCTAGTTGATAATCACATGATCCTTAACAGTGAGGTACTCGAGGTAGTTGATCAATGCACGTACCTTAGCAGCTGCATCAGCAACGGTGGGTGCATAGCACCTGAAGCCAATTCAGTTATTCTCAACCCATAACTGTCTCCTTGAGTCTGCGACATTTTTGCGTTAGAAAAGGGTATCCCTAGGTCTGATAGACCGTGTTTACAATAATAATAATAATAATAAGTAGTAATGTATCAGATGTACGCCGGAACGGCGCTTCGCTGCCGCGCGACCACCACCAGTTGTGCGCGGGCTTAGTATACCGCGAGGACGCCCACCCCTAAGCGGACTCGAACCGGTGACCTTATGGTTGCAAGCCAAACGTGCAGATCACTCGGCCACCGGCCGACCCGTGTTTACATGGCCACGGTGAGGGCTTTCCTTATCTTCGGGAGTGAGACTTGGCTCCTTCGATCTGAGGATCTGTGGCGCCTTCAATTGTTTGATCATCTTTTTTTGCGAAACATTGCTTGTTTTGGATTGCACCATGGTGTCCGCAACGATGATATGCGTAAGCGAGTACTAGGCAGTGATTACCAGTCTAGTTCTTTATAAAAAAGGGCACTGAATAAGTTACGTTGGCTTGGGCATGGATAGGTATGCCTGGTCACCACTTGCCGAGAAGGGCGCTATTATTATGTCATATTTAAGGGGAACAGAGACCATAGTGCGAGAAAATTAACTAAGCAGTTGGAAACAAAGTATTTGTTGAAGAAAATCTGTGCCATTGTTCTGTTCCGTTTTCCAGACAGGAACAGCGCTTGTACACTTGATATTTGCTACTGTTCCTTTTATTTCTATTCGCATCAGTTATGGTCCACTTTGGTTTAATAGGCTCAGTCGAGCTGTTTCCTCGATTTCGGTTCCGCTTTGTCCTTCCAGTCAGCTGCATGCGTCTTAGTAGTGCTTGCTCGGTGCATTGATCTTTATCTGTAAAGCTTGATCGTGTTACGATATCCACCGGATTTTACTGCTGATTCGGGAATAGCTCCAAGTAGGAAGCCTACCGAGAGTCAGTGATTGCTTCGCCTAAACCGATTGAATTTAGGCCATAAATAATTTTTCAATGCCTGCTAGTTCGCTACATATTTAGTGGCTCAATATGAATTTATGTTTGGCTTTCTTTGACCTTTTTAAAAATCAGAACTTCCGTGTCTTTCGAACATGTCTTTCGAACACGTTTTCCTGAGGTCACAAGAAAATTTTGTTGGTTTTTCTGTGCTTGCTTTCGATCCGTCCAATCCTCATGTTTTATTTTTACATTTGGAGACGCGGTTTCGTTGTCGCCGTCTTGCCTCACAATCCATCATGCTTTCCTTTGTTGCAGCCCGCATCAACACTTGTATCGCATGTGATGTCGTTGTTTGATTCTGTTCCGGCTAATGCTCCTTACGACAGGATCAAAGCTGGAAATTTGAAGTACAGATCAGCTCCCGATGAATTCCGACTTCAACAATCACTTTCCGATGTTGAGCTCAATGACTGCACACCTTCACAACTCCTTCACTACATGCGCCTCTTTATCGGTTCTCCCAAGGTCAAGAACGGTGTTTTTACGTCAGTTTTGGATAAAATGTCTCCCAACTAACACTACAGCAATTCTCGCTGTGTACGCTAGCAGAAACAGCAGATGAAGTCCAAGAATATTTCTACAGCCATCCAGTTTGTCACCCTGTCGATTTACCTATGACTCGCTCTCCGGGAAACAATTCTCTCAAATCATTATGTCGCAAGTTGTCAAAACTTGAGCTCTAAATCTGAGGCATGCGGCACCCTCGCATTCGAAGCCATGGAATAATTTCAGGAGATAGACGTACCTTTACGCGGAACGCGATACGTCACTATTGGTACTATCACCGCCGTTTTCGTGATGCGGTTTGAAATTGTCACCCTCCTGGCGCTCACCCTATAGCATCTAGCACGCCTTAGTAGGGAAATGATCAAGCCAGCCAGCAATGATGACGGCTGTGTAGTTGACCAACCGTCTATAGTCGCCTGCTTTAGGCTCACGGTTCCACAAACAACCTTCTCTTCTTGGTTGAGACCGATGACGAGGAGAGCGCTCGAATTCGAAGAACGGAAAAACACTACCTACTCCCTACCGGAATTACGCTTCAGGTGGTTAACCGCACCAAAATCCACACGTACAGCCAGTAACTGCTAACTCTTGATCTCGAATTAAAGCGATCCTTTCCTTTCGTCTTCCTCATCGAAGACGTCCAAAGTCTCATCATTAGCGTCGATGTTCCCACGGACTACGGCCTGGGTATAGACCTATGCGGCAGGAAACTCAGTAATAGTGTCCCGTCTCTTCCCGTCCCTGGTAAAGTTACCTCCATCAGCTCAATCGGAATCCGAATGTCGCTGACCACCGACAGGGTGTTCAGTGAATTGCTTCATCGATTTTTTGCTTTATATCAGTCGTCTGACAAATTTTCAGACCCATAGCATCAGACTGTGTACCATATAGTTACTACCGGACCTCCTGTCGCTGCTCGATTTTGGCTGTTGCAGCCCGACCAAATCGTCACTGCTAGGAATGAATTTCAGCTCAGGCCCGACATCATTCGTCCGTCTTGTTGCGCATGGTCTTCTACGTTGCACATGATCGGAAACTGGTGACCATGTGGAGACTATCGCGCAACGAACGATGCTACTATATCAGACAAATATTCCATTCCTCACATTTACGACTTTTCCGTCGGTTTACACGGTAAAGCCATTTTCTCTAAGATAGGTCTTACCCGGCGTACTACAAGATTCCTGTCGCTCTCGAAGATATCCCATAACCGCCATAACCACGCCTTTTGGCCCTTACGAATTCCTCCGCAGGATTTTAGTTTGCGAAGCCCTGTGCAGACCATCCAGCGACTCATCGACCAAGCTCCTGGATGGCTTGACTTCGTTTTCGTATAAATCGAAGACATTCTGGTGTCTATCACAAATTATGAAGAACATCTTCTTCACTCCCGCTTGCCTTTCGAGCGCTTTGCCAAGCACGGTGTCAAAATCAACCTTGATAAATGCCTCTTTGGCCAGTCGCATATTGATTTCCTTGGCCATCGAACAGATGGCGACGGCACCAGTCCGATTTCCAAAAAAACACAGGAAATTTCTTATTATTTCATACTGCAGTCCTTTAAAAATTTACACAGCCTTCACTGAATGGTAAACTATTAGAGCCCATTTATTATAGAGTGATCCAGACGTCTCCATTCGTTGACAGACTAGCTTAAAGGTAAGTGTAGTAAGTTCGAGCCAACGGCTGAAACTACAACCAACCTAAATAACATATAGTAATTTCGGTCGCGAAGTATTATTTAGTTGAAACAACTAGTTCCCGTGGAAACTTTTAGCAGATAAGTTCACATAAGAGCGCCACACGTGTTGATTTCGGAAAATTTCTATGCATATTTTTGAATGCGTACTACTGACGTGTGAATTTACAGTATCATGAAAATGACCACACTTAAATTGCCAAATTGATCAAACTGAGCACACACACGGTGTTGACACACATTTAACACATTTCAATATGTGACGATTAAACTAATGAACAGATGGTTCGGAAACAAGAAAATGTACTAGTAATGGATAGTCCAGGCGATTCGAATAAACAGTTCAAACATGATGGTATTCTGGCCTAAGTGTGATATATTGCCCCAAGTAAATTAGAGCTGCTTACGACAAACCTCCAAGATGGGTGGCAACAGAGTAATCACCAGTATAAAAAGGCGTGGAGGGCACCTTCATGCCTTATTGGTAGAAAATGTAGTCATTGAAGGTGGGCTAGCCTGTAACGAATTACAAACATTCAACTTACCGCAAATATTAACCGACGTAATGTGGCCGCAAAAGCTGTTACCAAGGACCAGAAAACGGCCACACATCCGACAGTGAGAAGCATTACGCTACTCCAAAGAAATCGTTAGACCAAAGAATTCATGAAGGCGCTGCATAGCAAGAAAGTCAGAAATGGTTATTTCAGCACATTTCTTCGATACACAAAATTTGCATTGGTTTTGCTGTGTACCGGAATTGAGTATGTACAGTTATTATGTAGTGTATAGTGCAAAATAGAAAAGGTGAAGTACCATAATTCACGTCTGCAGATGAAAAAATAAGAGTAAGGCACAACGCAGATATGTATTAGTGAAACCAAGAATATCACACCTGAAAGAAACGACAGGCTATTTTCGCATAACGAGAATGATCGAAAAATGTCCGCCGGAGTGACCATTGAAGCGCCCTCGGCGACCGCTTTTCATGCCTTTGGCCGTCCGAGTTGGACGTACTTGTGACGAATTTTGTCATATAGAAAAAATGTCCCAGCGCACTCTTAACATATACCTTGAGCGCATGTTCTTCTGGTTTCGAACACAGTCAACAAAAGCGGAAATCGATATCTGAATTGTAATTATGCAATACTAAAACTTTAAGGCTAAACGGGGACACCGGTGCCTTCGCAATTTAGCTCACATCTGGTGGGAACACAGCGTGAGCAACGACCGTGTTCGACGCCTTGTTTACGACACAGGAAAAGGAAATGAACCGCTCAGCACCGTCATTTCACACACCAGGCTCCGATGGCCCGGCCACGTATTAGGCATGCCAGCCCACCGACTCCCGCGACGTGTATTGCTTGCGCTCCGGGGGTGTGGATGGAAGAAGAGGACGGGTGGCCAAGCGATGACTTGGTCGAGAGGAATGAAGGCCCTCACTTCGGAGTTGGCCTCGGTTGGATCGTCTCGGCTCCCTGGTTGGGGTCCGAAAGACTATGAACACCTTTGGTTGGATACACTTGTTGATATGGCTAGGAGCCGACCTCAGTGGCGTTCGTGCTGTGAGTTTCTTTGTTCCACCCCACCCCTCTTAGCTTCCCCCTCCAACCACGATCTCACTATTTAGCCTTATATATTTTGTGTAGTAATTTTTTTCGCTGCATAGTAGCCAGCTGTTAGCTTACCGAAACGATGCCTATCCGTTACCGGTAGCTCAACCGGCTTGCACCAGTTGCATTTTTTTCTCTCCTTTTTTCTATGTATTGCGGCACAGTAGCTGAGATGTTCCCCACATCTAGCTAACGTGTATAGTGATGAAGATGAAAACTAAACGGAAAATATTTCGTGGGACCGAAATTCGTCCCAAATATGTCCAACTGGGAAGACCAGTGGTATGAAACGGTCACGCAGGATACGCAAACGGTCGCTCGCGTTGACTAGAATTACGATTTTACTGAAATGTAAACTTACAGGCAAAGAGCATAGATGTTAAAGATTTATAATAATATGTAATAACATACCTAGACATTATGCTAGTTATTTTTAGATTGAATTCTTTACTAAAATCATATCCAACCGTGCGGCCGCACGGACAGAGTTATGAGACGGTTATCACCATTGCTGTTATTATAGGGTAATAAGCTATTTCTTGCTTTCTTCCGGATTGAGTTAAGATGTTTAAAGTTAGTGCATGAGAATAATGTGGTTTAAGCTCACATCGCTTACAAACGGGACGAAAAATACTAATTCCGGAAGGGACGTTTTAATGGATACATTAACCGGGTAGTATATTCTCAGGAGTAAAATGCCAGGAATATGGGCGTGGTCGGATGGCGCGCAAGAGTTACAGCTAATATTAGAATTAGGTTCTTTTATCTTCTATTCGAAACCCAGAGTGCTCTATGATAATGAATTTCAAGTTCAGGTGTGAGGTAAAGAATAAGAGAATCCCGTAAGCGTATCTTCATGAGTAGATCGTTGAGTCAGAAGTTGATAACGTGTCCAGACCTCATGACGGACCTAAACCGGAACACTCAAATCACACTTTGGTCAAGCCATTAATGTTCACGTTCCCTGCAATAGCAGTTACGTGAGGCAAAAATAGATAGGAAAAGAAAGCAAAGGTAAGGAGCAAGGAAAATCAACTGAAAGCAAAGGATAATACCAGTGGTGAGGATAAGTAAAGAAAATAGAGTCGAAATATGGAGATAAGGGTCAGTAAGGAGAAAGGAAAGAGTAGGTTTTGCCATTCATGAGCGTCTAGGTGACATTTAAACCTCATATCCGTAGATTCCTTGACAGCCCTCTTGAGTAGTGAGTTCCAGCGCTCAAGGACGGCGCGATCGCCGAGATTTTTGTGTAATTCGGTAGAACCGCGGTTTGAGAAGCATTATGCAGTGAGCACGGAGATCATACGATGTAGCGGGACTTGCAGTAGCTGGGATTACACTATATGTTATCTTTGTTTTTATCACTTCCGTTACCGATCATTTTACCAGTTGTTTAAATTCACAACAAGTGCAGCTCGCTCGCGGCGTGCTGGTTTCGTTTGCTGATGCATCTGCTTGTGTTGCTGCCACGTCTTTCCGTTAGTCTGATTTATGTCTTCGAATCGCTAGTCGGCATCGGAATCTCACTGACTGAAGGAAGAGCTATAACGCAAGTGTGTTTGCTTGTTCTTTTATTGTGAGTTTTTGCCTAAGATTGTCTTTTGTCTCTGCACTCGAAGTTATTAGACCACGGTCCTCTACATTAAATGGTGACCCCGAACTTTTGGCAACGTTAAATTTGTTCTTCCTTATGTCTGATTAATCATTTTGTGAACAGTTATCTGAAAATTCCGTTACATTTTCTTTTCCATCCTTCGATGTGTCCAACTCACTTGTCTGGTTTATTCAAGCGTAATATATCTTTTGTTTCCGTAAGATCATCTTGCAGTCTACGATGTTTCGACTTGTTACTGCCTATTTACCTACACAGGTGGCTTCAGAAATCATCGATATCCTCGACCCTATGCCGACTGACTCACCTTATGACAAGCTTAAAGCAGCTATCTTAAAACGCACTGCCTTATCCGACGAGTCACGCCTCCAAAAGCTACTCTCTGACGTCGAGCTTGGTGATGGTACACCGTCGCTGCTTCTCCGACATATGCGATCACTTGTTGGTTCAACAACCTTAGATAATTCCATTCTTCGCCAACTCTGGATTAAGTGTCTTCCAGCAAACACGACGGCGATACTAGCTGTTTTGGCTGAGGACCTTCCACTGAATAAGCTGGCGGAAGCGGCCGACAAAGTACACGAAAATTTCTTTAAAAACGCTGTGAATCATGTGGCTGAGGCGTCCACTACAAGCACTTCAGGGAGTGCCACACTCGACTCCATTAGTGAGAGGCTCTCAAACTTGGAGCTCAGTATTTCTCATCTTAGCCGCGGTCGAATACGAAATCAAAGATCTTCTTCCAGAAGCAGGCCTCGCAGCAACTCCCGCAGACGACCATCGCGCTTTTACTGCTACTTCCATAAACATATTGATAATGCTGCACGAAGCTGCCGCCCAGTGTGTATTCGCCCAAAGACATTCGCTAATTCCAAATCGGGAAACGTCGAAGTCAGCCAGTAATGGCGACGACTGACGTTGGTCAAATTATTAGTCGCCTGCTGTATGTATTTGATTCCACGACCAGACCACTTTTTGGTTGACACTGGCGTGCAGATAAGCGTTATACCCCGTTCCTTGAAAATACGCTCGTTACACCCGGCTGGAATGTCGCTACAGGCTGCTAACCAGACGAAGATCGCTACTTATTGCCAGAAACTTCTTATGCTCAATCTTGGACTACATCACAGCTTTCCTTTCATTTTTACGATTGCCGACGTAAAAAAGCCTATCATCGCTATTGGTTTGCTTAGCAAATTTGGCCTTGTAGTAGATGTACGTTGTGGGAAGTTACTTGATAATACCACTACGTTAACTGATTCCGGAAAGCTTACCTCAGTTTATTCCATCCGACTTAGAGTCCTTATGCCCGATCGTTCGCAGTATTCCGCACTGTTGCGGCATTTTCCATCACTTGTCAGAGGAAATAACGACGCGACGGAACCCAAGCACTATGTGCAACATCACATCGTCACAACTAGTCCACCGCTGACGTCAAAACCACGGCGACTTACACATGACAAACTACAGGCTGCTAAAAAAGAATTCGAGCACGTGTTCAAGCTCGGAATCATTCGTCCTTCAAGCTGTTGTTGGTCATCTCTATTGCACCTTGAGTCTGTTGATTGGCTCCAATTTGGCGACTACCGAACATTGAATAAAGCCACAGTTCCCGATAGATACCCAATCACGCATATACACAATTTTTCGTTAGAAATGGCAGGAAAGTCGATCTTTTCTAAGATTGATCTTGTCATGGTGTACCACCAAATCCCAATGGCTCCGGAAGATATTGTAAAAACGGCAGTAACCACCTTTTGTGGCTTGTACGAGTTTCTCCTTATGCCATTCGGTCTCCGAAATGCCGTGCAACCTTTCCAACGCTCCATGGACCAAGTTCTCCGTGGTCTCGACCTTGTCTTTGTTTAGATTGATGATGTTTCCGTTGCAAGTGCTTCTGCCGACGAACACTTAAGACCTCTATGAAAAGTTTTCGTATCTTTCGAATATCATGGTATCACTATTAACCCTGACAAATGTGTATTTGGCCAACCTTCCATCGACCTCCGAGGCCACAGAGTTGACCCTAACGGGATTAGCCCCTTGATTGATAAAACGAAAGGTATACCGGACTATCCATCGCCACAATCCGTTAAGAGCCTATGCCGTTTTCTTGGCATGGACGGACGGTTTATACATGGCTGTGCTGCAATTCTTCAAACTTGAAGTGATTTGCTCAAAGACAATCGCGAATAGTTCACGTTCACTCCAGACGCCGAAGCAGCGTCTGAGCCAAGCTACTTCACTTACTTGAGAACGGACGATAACGTCACTCGCATTCTCAAGACAGAAGCTTCACAATCCGCCGTTGGTGCCGTACTGCAGCAGCTCGTGGGTAACGAAATCAACCCTTGTCTTTCTTCTCACGGAAGCTGCAACCTGCCCAGACCAGGTAGAGTAACTTCGGTCGAGAGCTCCTTGCTACGTACCTGGCTGTAAAGCATTTTCGT